GGGAGAAGCTGGTGGAGAAGGTGTTGGAGGTAGAGGAGGTTGAGAAGGTGGTGGAGGTGGTGGAGTTGGTGGAGGTGGTGGAGGTGGAGCTGGTGGAGGAGGAGGAGGGGGAGAAGGGAGAAGGAGGAGGGGGGAGAAGCTGGTGGAGAAGGTGTTGGAGGTAGAGGAGGTTGAGAAGGTGGTGGAGGTGGTGGAGGTGGTGGAGGTGGTGGAGGTGGAGGAGGTGGAGGAGGTGGATGAGGGGGGAAGGGTACGTCCGAGGATAAGTGATCAACCTTCGAGTCGCGGCCGACGGACTGGTCACGAACGTAGCGTGTATGTGCGTGAATGAGAAACACGCGCGCGCGTATGTGCCGAGACTGCCGACACACGCTGGTCAAAGACACGCGCCCCACGCCACTGTTATAAAGCATGCAATCGATCATCAAACGCGCTCGCCGCCCCCCCCCTCCCCTCACTCTCACCCGCTGTTTAACTGTGCAGGCGTATTTGCTCAACCTCGGTTTACAACGCAGTGTTAAGTTAGTGTTAGTAAACTATGGGTTGCGTGTAGTGGTGGCAGTGGTGGTGGGGGAAATGTGGAGCAAAGAGCGGCGAGAGGCGGTCGACGAAGAAGAAAACAAACTTACGGTGAAGGAAATCTAGGCTGAATTTGGTCGGCGCCCGCAAAATTAAAATGAATATGAAAAAAATGAAACGCGCGTTCGCGCGTGTATTCGAAACTAAATATCTGACTAAATTAACAAACATGATAGCACAATTTTCGAAACTATTTTGCTTCATTTGATTATACCGACAAAAGTAGTTCAACCAAAATGAGTGTATCGTTTGAAATCATTTATGTACGGCTGTTCAATTCTGTTATTCCCCAGTTGTATTTCTATCTCACGCTGATAAAAGAGCATATTGATTTGATTTTTTTAATTATTTTTGATATCATTTGATTTGCGCTGTAAGTATACCTGCATAGTTGCGACGACCATTCGTCTGGCCTTCATGTAAACATCCTCGTCGACCATGGCTGGGTTTTCACTCCTCAGTCGGTCGGCGATCGAGTTGTGATAGCGGAAGAAGAGGATGCTGAACGCAAGAAGGCCCGGATGTTGGTTGGCGCGTGCTTCACCGAGACCTGTGATGTAGGGTTGATGGTAGTTAGGCTTATAAATTCATCCATCCATTCATCCATCTGTATGTCTGTCTTTCCATTCGTCCGTCCGTCTGTCCTTCCATTCGTCCGTCCGTCTGTCCTTTCATTCGTCCGTCCGTCTGTCCTTTTATTCGTCCGTCCGTCTGTCCTTTCGTTCGTCCTTCCATCCATCCATCTATCCATCCATCCATACATCCGTCCAACCACCCACCCCCACACCTCTCATCCATCTATATAATCCACCCACCCACCCATCCATCTACCCATCCAACCATCCATCTACCCACCACTCTCACCACTTCCTTTCATTCACCACCCACCCACTCACCCATCCAACCACCCATCTACCCACCACTCTCACTACTCCCATTCATCCACCACCCACCACCACACACCTCCCACCCTCCCACCGTCCCACCGTCCCATACAGTTCCACCCTCCCACCTGTCCCACCGTCCGTTCTCATAAGCGTTTCAAGCGTAAATGACACTAAGGTTTCGGAATGTTTTCCTGGGCGTTTCAAACGTAAATGACTCTATATAACGTGTTGTCATCTATAACGTGTTGTCGTCTATAACGTGTTGTCGTCTATAACACGTTGTCATCTATAACGTGTTGTCGTCTATAACGTGTTGTCGTCTATAACGTGTTGTCGTCTATAACGTGCTGTCATCTATAACACGTTGTCATCTATAACGTGTTGTCGTCTATAACGTGCTGTCATCTATAACACGTTGTCATCTATAACGTGTTGTCGTCTATAACGTGTTGTCGTCTATAACGTGTTGTCGTCTATAACGTGTTGTCGTCTATAACACGTTGTCATCTATAACGTGTTGTCATCTATAACATGCCGTCACCCGTCGTTCGTAGCTGAATCGCATGACGAGCTGGATTGACGGCAGCTACGTGTACAGCGTGCACGAGTCGTGGGCGGCGGCGCTGCGACGCCACGACAACGGCACCCTGCTGTCGACCATGCACGGCAAGTACCCGGCCTACAACGACGTCGGCATGCCCGTCAACAACTACCTGGCGCCGCACCTAGGACGGAAAGTACCGGCGACAGAGACCTACCGTGAGTACTGCGGCGGGAGGGTGGGACGGTGGGACGGTGGGAGGGTGGGACGGTGATTACAACACAGTAGTGTCATTTATCTTCGAAACTCATGAAAACATTAACGACACATTATTGTCATTTACGTTCGAAACGCTCATGAAAACATTACGACCCATTAGTGTCGTTTACTTTTGCACCTGTCACGAAAATCGTGTAACGTCATGACGTGCGACTCAGCGTACTAACTCTAATACGACACTATATACCCATCAACGACACACGGATTCCAATAAAGATACTCAGCTACACGACAATTGAGAGTTAGGCACTAGTAGACACACAGTATGACGAATAGTGATAAACACCGTACGTGCATATTCGACATGCGCATATCCTGTACGTGGATTGTGTGAAAGGTTGGCGTGGGTAGTCTGAGTACTGATCTCGTACCACGTGACTATCACCGATCAATCGAATCGCGTGAAGCCGCTGCTGACGTTCGATTTATGCAGCCGCAGCCGCAGCAGCCGCAGCACGCACTCACCTGAGCTCTCGGGTTGTTCATGGACTCTCCGGTTTGCGCTGCGTATTTTATTCTGCTTACGGGCATGCCGTTTCCGGCTTCCGGTGTGCATGCGCCGTCCTTGTCGCATGACGTCATCGGGACGTTGAAGACTTCGATCGGACACGTCTTATCCATTCCGTGCATTATTTCGTACGCTACGACCTGACCTGCGAACGCGGTAAGACCCGTTGCTATGACAACGCTTCCGCCACGTCTCGCTAGAGAACATCATCCCGACGTCATCGAGATGCTTAGATAACGGTGACGTCACCGTGACGTAACGCGAACATTACCAGACCGTGCTCCGACGGCGTTTACTCGATGTTTGCGTCCAACGGAATGAAAACCAGTTGAACTAGTTAACACACGTATATACGTGTGCTCGAAGCGTACTGGCTGAAATCTATCATAGATCTCGCGGGTAAGGTAAAACTCACTGAGATACGCGTGTGAATGGAGGAAGTGGAGAATGCGCTAGAGGTGGTTTGGATGGGCGAGCGAGGTCGGCTGGATAATCGAAAACGCAATATATAGTATAGCAGAAGTGAATAATAATGGATCTATTATTATTCACTCCTGGTGATAGTTAATATTTTAACGAGAGAAACGCTCGATCACTTACACGTGGATATAGTAGTTATTATTTTAACGAGAGAAATACTTTATGATCAGAGTATGGTGGCCCAGTGTTATAATAGTTTATCACAGGTCTTCGACGTGGCCCACTGTTAAAATAATAAACATGACCATATACCATACACACGTTCATAGACCATATATGATTGACCATATTGACCATATACACGTCGAAGACTTGTGATAAACTATTATAACACTGGGCCACCATATCAGAGATCACTTACACGTGGATAAAGTAGTTATTATTTTAACGAGAGAAACATTTTATGATCAGAGATCACTTGCACGTAGATATAGTAGTTATGAATTTTAACGAGAGAAACACTTTATGATCAGAGATCACTTACACGTGGATAAAGTAGTTAATAAACGAGAGAGACCTCACCCTAGGAGCGCTACCACTCACACGTGGAGCGTACACATGTTTGAGTTGAAACGCTGCGCATGCGCACACGCCGCCACGATACGTGCGCATACCTGTGCGCACACACGCGCATCTCGTACATCTCCGTGTAGCGGGCGGGGAAGCGGGAGAGAGGGTCCGTGGCCATGAATCTTCTTCACACCCGCCAAAGAAAGTAAACATCACACTCACCAAAGAAAGCAAACATCACACTCACCAAAGAAGGCGAACATCACACTCACACTCACCAAAGAAAGCAAACATCACACTCACCAAAGAAGGCGAACATCACACTCACACTCACCAAAGAAAGCGAACCCCACACTCACCAAAGAAAGCAAACATCACACTCACCAAAGAAGGCGAACATCGCCGTACGGTTGAGACTAGAGGGTAAGCCGTCGCGGCCCTTGAAGATCGCGTCGCTGAGTAGGCGCGGGTTGGGTCGGTCGACGCCCGCCATCTTGTAAACACCGTCGGCGTACGCGACGGGGGTCTTTCTCGAGAAGGCGCTGTCTGTAAGAGCGAGGCGACGTGCGGGTGTCAACGATGATGTCAGATAGTATAGACAGTATTAGACACGCACACACACACACACACACACACACACACACACACACACACACACACACACACACACACACACACACAC